AGATATATATATATATAGTTGTTGCTAATTGCTTTGGCTTGCTCCTCTTGGCTAATGCGAATGCGAATTTTGTCGTTGGCTGTCGATCTGCCTCTTGGCGCCTTCTGCTTTCCCTTCTGCTTCTCGTGTTGCGTATGCAATTTTATTTTTACTTGTGCGCTCACACACACACACACACACACACACACACACACACACTTTCACGCCCACATTAAAAAAAATGCAAAAAGAATAAATAATTTTACATCTTTTTAGTGACTTTGACTTTGGCAACTCATCAAGTTCAACGTCGTCAAGCACCACGCACCGCAATCTGATTTCGTCCAATTGGAGCAACGTAACCGAAATTCGAATTAGAATCCAATTGAAGCAATGCGGCACTGCAATTGCACTTATCCAATTGGCATGCCGCTTCAATGATTAACAATTGCTAAGCGGTTAAACGGGCAAGCGGGTAAGCGGGTTAACGGTTAACGGCTCGTTACGTGGGCCGCTGTCTCGTCTCCTTTAGCTGCTCAAACAAACTAAAAACCGATAATTGCCCGACGTCAAATCAGCGCAATTGTCAATCCAATTGAGAGACGCCGAACAGTGTGCAGCGTCAACAGCGAGCTGTTAGCGTGCTGTTAACTAACAGCACTGCATGCTGTGTAGCCCAAAGCGCTGCGACTGTTAACGCCAGTAAACGCGAGCGAGCTGCGAGGGGTGTTTGACAAATTTAGTTTATTCAGTGAAACTATTTGTTTCTTTTGATGTGATATTATATTTTATTTAAATTCTTGTTTAACTTCTTAAGGTATTATCGAATGCCAACTGTGCAGAAAACTAACGTCATTTATATTTCAGTGCTAACTGGCCGTTTGACACCCAGTAAATGTATTAACATATACAGTGAACCCTCGCTTAACGAACGCCTCGAGCAAGACTTGTGTTCGTTAACCGAACTATATATATCTATATATCTATATATATTTATTTATCGAACAAACATATATATATATTTTTTTTTATTGAGAGATTTTACAGTACATGGTACAGTAAAAGCTCGATATAATATGAAATGATCTAAAAACTTTAGTCAAATAAATATATGTTAACTCAGTTCTTCAGTTCACAATCAATCGAGTGAAACATTTAATGTTAAAAAAAAGTAGAGCTGCCTTAAAGCTAACACATATGTAAAAAAAAAAATATTTTTATAACTAACTACAAGTACCTAAGACGTGTATGAAATCGTGTATTACGCTAGGTAATATCACTTAAGTTCTAGCAACTTATGCTATGAGCTTACGAGCCGAAACTAATGCGAATTGCTTAGGATAATACTATAGACAAGGTAATTAAAATGGATGTAGATTTGACCTGGGCCAACTGGTCTACAGTGGTGGGCCGCATAAGTAGCTCTGTTGCAGCAGGGCTGCCCCAGCTGACCGTTACTGTTCCGGTGGGCTGTACGGCTTGCCGAGCGCACGTCGGATCGCTGACTCGGCGATCCACATGAGCAGGGCGACGGCGGTGAGGGTGTTGATGCAGTGAATGGTGGCGCTGTAGCCATAGGCGTTGGTGATGACGCCTGCAGAGCACAAAGATTCGAGATTCGAGATTAGAATGATTCCAGCGTGCTGCACTTGACCAGAAATACTCACCCAGCAGGGGTCCCATGGCGAAGGAGAAGAGCGTGTTGAAGATCAGCTGCAGTCCGGAGGCGGCGGGCAGGCGACGCAGCGGCACATAGCTGGGTATGATCAGTGGGGAGAATATGGTGCGGAAGCCCTTGCCGAAGCCGATGAGCAGAAAGACGGCCACGATCACGTTGTAGGACGAGGCCATGGTGACGATGACGCGGCCGACAGCGATGCAAACGATGCCGAAGGCGAATAGCACCCGATTGTCCAGGTTCACCTTCTCGAGAAAGAGCGGGGCCAGGAAGCGCACCGAGATGTCCATGCAGGCCAGCAGCGACATGACCAGGGAGCACTGCTCGTTCGTATACCCATAGCTGTCCAGGATGAACGGCGTGAGCACCGAGAAGTTCATCTCGCCGAACATCATGATGCTCATGCCGATGACCAGATTGACAAAGGTCACATTGCGCAGCAGATCCAGATCGAAGAATTTGGCCACCTTCTGGCGAAACTTCATTTTGCGCTTGGCCACCTCCTCGGCCTCGACGGCGGCCTGCAGCGCCTGCTCCTGGAGGCGCAGCGCCGCGGCCGATTTCTCCAGCACCGCCTTGTCCTCGGCGCAAGTGCAGCGCAGCAGCTCCTCGCCGCCTGGCTTGGAGTAGATGCTCGCCTTGCTCGCATACCGGCCGAGGTCGCCGCGTTCCCGACTGAAGTAGTTCGGCTTGGATAGACCCACGGCCGACTCCTGCTGCCGCTGCAGCCGGTCCGCCTCGTTGGCCTCCTCCAGTTTGTCCAAGTTGTCGCGACTCAATTTGGTGGCCGCCGACGCCACGACACTGACAGAGGCCTGACGCAGCAGCACCTGCCGCCGCTCGGAGGCCAGCGACAACTTGGAGCCGAACCAACCGTCGTTGGCACGCGCCAGCATGGGTGTGCCTGGATCTGTGATCTCGTAGCCGGGTTGGTCGGGATCGTCGTCATTGAAGAGGTACTGCGAGGAGAAGATGCCACGCTTGGCGCGCCTCTGGTACTGGCAGTACTTGCACTCGTAGTCGCTCCACGGATCGCTGCCCGTGGACAGCAGATTGCCATTGGCCTCGAGCAGCTCTGGCTGCTCCTTGGGATCGACGCTGTCGGGCTCGGGCTTCTCCGGCTTGCGCACATGCCGCATCACCGGCTGCAGCGTAAGGGCGCAGAGCACCGCATTGAACGCGATGCCGGCATACACCAAAATCGTGCCCAGCGAACCGTAGTAGTCCAGCAGAAAGGTGGACACGTACGGAAAGATGATGGGTCCCAGGCCCGTGATGGTCCACGAGAAGCCGGTGGCTCGCCGGCGGCTGTGCTTAAAGTATGTGTTCACGGCCAGCGAGACGGCGGCCATGGCCAGACCCAGGCCCACACCATAGATCAGCGACAGGCAGATGATGTACTGCCAGAAGGTGACGCAGAAGGCCGAACCGAAGATGCCCAAAAAGCCAAGGGTTGTGCCCGCCAGCGCCACCTGGCGGAAGGTGAAGCGCCGAAACATTGCTCCATTGACAATGCCTGGAAATATCTGAGATGTAGTTACCCAAGCCTAGATCTGCCCAGAGATGCTGTGACTTACCCACTAGCGAAGACAGCGTCATCACCACATTCACAATGATCGTCGTCTCCTTGGCATCGAAGCCCAGCGTCGACATACGCGCCCGGTAGATCAGACCGTACTGCTGCAGTGCCGGAAACATAAAGAACTATACAAAGCCCCGCCGGATTAGTTGATGTCGTTTCCATACATATTGTAGATCGCTCTGTGGTACTCACATTATTCAAGCCCGCAGCCACACAGATGACCCAGCCCCAGCCGCCATCGGGCGCCACGAAATCGGGACCCAGATCGCTCTTGTCGCGACGTTTCGGTTTCTTTGGCTTCGTCGTCTCATTGTAGACGCTCGCATAATTCTTCTGTGTCAGCGTGGACTTATCCATGATAGTGGATGCCTGCAAGGGAGAACAGGGAAATGTCTTAGTCTATGCTTTTGATTGGCTTTTGCATTATTTTAAGGGTGTTCCAGGCTGAAGTGGATTGGATAGGGTACATCAGATTACAGATCTCTCTACTTGTTCTCTACAATCGAAGTGTAACCCATTCCAAATCCCAGTTCAAAGTCTAAAGAATGTGGGATTCTAAGGAAAGCTGTTTGACTTGCAGGTATCCTTGAGATGGTCAGGAAATGACTCTCAAGGAGATCGAATATGGTTCCTTTCCCTACCAAATTCTCTCTCCCCATTTCTCTCTACCCCAAAATGCATTTCGCAGTTATACTTTTCTGTTTGCATACGAAAACGCCTAGCCGATTAGATAACCTGCAGATAACTACACAAAATGACATTGAATTCGTGCTCAAGCTGAAAAATCCCAATATACCGGAAGTCAGTAAAGAGTTTGCTGAGAGAGCAAATATTTGCGAAATCTATTGAAGAGCCACAAGTTGGACGCATGCCATGGCATGATTTAATCATATGTCTTTCTTATAGGCAAACTCAACTCTAATTTCTAAGCTAACATGGCAGACCAGACAGGCATCTATCTATTGATCTATCAGCGTTTGCCTGAAGCTATGCAAAATTGTCGCCATTTGTAAGGTGGAAAATTGCGGTCTATCAATGCTGTAAGACGTCGACTCCTTGCGGCATGCCGCGGCACACCTCATCATTATTGTTATTGCCATTGCCTAATGCTAGATAATGCTCTAATTGCTAATTGGCATTGTCGCCGACAATGTCGGCAGGCCGTCCCCCATTTGCTGGGTATGCTAGGCATTATTATTATTATAGTAGGAACGGGTCTGGGGTCTGGGGTCTGGGTTTGGGTTTGGGTTTGGGTCTGTCTTAGACATGTGCYTTCTATATTGTGTTGATTTTGCCATATGGGCGCGACGTGACCAAAAACCGCGTCGATCTAAGCGATTCGTTTTTATATGCAAAACACGATAGTCGCACCAATCGCTGTTGCTTCTTCTTCGCCCAGAGCGAGCGGCAATCGAACGTGGCTTGGGAAATCACTTAGCGGGTGTGCCCGGTTCATTGAGATCAATGCGATGCCATGGAGCTGGCTTAATGGCTGATGGTGGCAGCCAGACAGGAATTGCTGCTGCACGAGGGGTAGAGGCAGTGGTAGAGGCAGACTGTCGCCGTCATTTGGGTCCTTCATAAAAACGCAGAGACAAAACAAAACAAAAATCATTTGGTTTGGTTGTAAAAATAATGAAGAGTCCATAAGGAAAAGAGCAGTTAAGCATAGCCCCTATCGGTCTGCCTCTCTCTCTACCTCTGTCTCCCTCTGTCTCTCTTTCAGTCTGACATCGCCCTCATCTGTACAGTTCTATTTATGCAGCGATAATTCGGAGACAGGCCAGCCAACTGGTGCAGCCGGTGCACTTGGCTGCTGGCACTTGGATGTCTTCATTGCAGCTGAAGATAGCAAGCTGTTGCAGTTGTTGCAGTTGTTGGAGTTGTTCGAGTTGTTGTCGTGGCTGCCGTCGTCTTGTTTGCCATTGAACTCCATCGAAGCGTGCCATAAATTGACGCCCGCTGTCAGAGATTCCGACAGACAGTGTCAGTGTCAGGGGCGCACTGAATGAAACCATCTGTAGACGAGGAGGGATGGTGAGGGTGCGGGAGAGAGGTAAACCATGACCAAGATCAAGTCTGAGAAAAGGGGAGCAGCACTTAACAGCCTCACGCACTCATGCCATCGATCAATGCCCGTGTAGGCTGTGACAAAATAAGACAAGAGCTATGCAGTTCGATAGTATTCGGCTATGAAATACCCTCACCTTACCTTGGAGGTAACTGCTATAAGCCAGAGTTGGTTGGCATAACTATAAATTGATCAAAATCAATCACAAACTAGGGTTTGTTGGGGAATATTTCTATACCGCAGTTGGTAACTCTAGCCTTCTAAAACTAAATATCGATATCTTTAGCTATCGATTGTCTTTAAAGTAAAGTTTATCAGAGTTGATCACAGAATTTGGATTGCACAATACTTGGAAGTATTTACATATATGCCAGAAACTATCTTCAACTGTAATTCGATAACTTTAATTATCGATTATTTAATGTAAACTTCATCTGTCGAAGAAGTCTCTCATTCCTGTATTTCAGCTCGTTATAGGCGCGTCTATTGCATTCCAATCAATATGTAAGCATATATTATGGCTTCAGCCACTCCCATTGCTGCCTCCGGCATACATTATAAATGAGAGCGACTATATACCCAGTTGAAATGATCTCAGGGTATACGCAAATAACTTTCGCTTAGCACACGCAGCCCGTCCAAATATTTAGTTGGCCTGAAGACTAGACCCAACTGACAGCGCACAGACTGACCAAGTGGTAGACAGAGAGCGAGAGAGAGGGAGAGAGAGGCGGAGTAGAGACAGAGAGAGAGAGAGAGAGAGAGAGATACTTAACAAGCGTTATCAACTCGACCGGTTTGCAGCTAGTTGTGATTTGTCGTCGCTTCGATTAGGGCTATTTAATGGTTTTACTTTTCGCAAGTCATGCGGCATGGACAATAATAAGTACGCCATTAGCATGACAAAACGCGAAGGCGTCATCATCATCATGATCACCATCATTATCATCATTAACAACAGCACGCAAGCTAATGATTCTCATTCCGCATACGTCAGAATTCATGATCATCAACAGAGGGATACTCGATTTCCAGAAAGCCACGATGACTGTTCGTAATTTCTCCCTGTACTCGAAACTCTCTACTCGAGGGCTAACGGTAAACTCAAGTATTATATATCAGCTATTTAAGGACGTTAAGATTCATTCATAAGATTCATTCAAAAATATTACAAATTTAAATCTATATGGACATAGTCTCTCGGTTTGACTTTCTCACCGATTACAATATATCAAACAAAGCCATATCTTAATCATGTCGTGACCATAAATTGAAGCACGAATAATATTATAAGTGGATGCTATTTATAGAGCTGCCCCCGAGCCTAACTGGCTTCAGTTTGTGACTTTTTGACTAACCTCTACACCTCAAGCATATAATTATGCCTATTTAAATAGTGAATTATTTAATTATATATGATTCTTATAATAAAGCAAACAGCGTGATTAAATTCTAATTAAATCAGATTTTTATATACGTACATCTGACTTTAATTAGTCAAGCAAACAAAAAAAAAAGAATTTTTTTGCTGCTTTTCTGACTTATTTGTTTGCTAAAAGCTTGACATAGGGAATTGTATATATACGCATATAAATATACAAATATATGTGTATATGACGTGATATTGTGAATAGAAGAGCAAAGTCTGCCTTAGATGTTTCTTAGCTCTGTCGTGATGGCCTTGGGTAGATTACCCCAAACCGAACATAGCAGTATGCTCTATTCATTTTGTCTACTTTTTATTCTCGAAATATTTTGTATACTTATATTGAATTATTAATATACTTGTATACTTTATATATGTCTATGCTTTGTATGCTTTAGATATTTCAAATACTATATATACTTTATACACTTCGTGTGCCTTAAATGCTTTGTATGCTTTATATACTTTGTGAACTTCATATACTATATATACCGTATATACTTTGTATATCCCAGATACTTTGTATTCTGCATTTACTGAGCATACTTCATATACTTTGTATACTTTATATACTTTGTATACATCACATACTTAGTATATACTTTATATACTGTCATATACTTTATATACTTTGTCAACTTCTAATACTAAATATACCTTATATACTTTGTATTCTGCATTTACTGAGCATACTTCATACACTTTGTATACTTAATATTCTTTGTATACATCACGTACTTAGTATATACTTTATATACTGTCATATACTTTATATATACTTTGTATACTTTATATACTTTGTCAACTTCTAATACTAAATATACCTTATATACTAAGCATACTTCGTACACTTTGTATACTTCATATACTTTGTATACATCACATACTTAGTATATACTTTCATATACTTTATATATACTTTGTATACTTTATATACTTTGTCTGCTTTAGTTTTCTTGCCTATTTAACAAGTTCCATACCAACTCTGTTCAGCCCACGCGAAGGAGTATCTCTTATCAAACTCCGTCGTTTCACTATTATTATCTAATAAATGCCATTATATAACCTATCTATATCAATATGCATATATATGTACATACATCGAGCTTATTATATATTTTGTGTATTGATTATGGATGCATAAAACAACAAGCCCGTGTGCTATGACATTTGGAAACAGGCAGCAGCTAAGATACCGGCCGCACCCGGCCGCATCGCTATCAAGCGGCCCGATGCGGCTTATCATGCGCCGTACCATGTTGGTAATTAGTCTGTGCCGTTGACTCACTCGTAGATAAAAGACATAGACTATAGACATCGATATTGGCATCGACAGTGTCGGCGCTATTGATTAGGTCATTGTAACTAGCCCTTTACTCGCTCTCGCTCGCTCTCTCTTGCTCTCTCGCTCTCTCTCTCTCTGTGTCGTGTCTCTCTCTCTGTCTCGTGTCTCTCTTGTTAGCTTATCAGTAGGAGGCGCGGAGCCAGAACACAAATAGTGAAACACTTGTTACTCAAGTTCACATATTTGTCTACTTAAGGGAACACCGTGCAGATGGAACAACAACAACAAGAGCAACAAGGTGTAGCCACAGGTGTAGCTCTCACTCGTGTATCTGACAGATACATTTGCCATGTATCTGTATCTTCTGCCGGGCGGAAGTTGAGGCTACGTTTCGTGTTCCCTTTTCTTTAGCTTTTCATTATTTCGCTAGCCAATTGGCAGTTTGTTCGCCATTTAATTGAGATTAATCGAACGGCGCAATTTTTCAATTATACTCACAAGGCACCCAATACTGCACTGTGAGAAAAACCCTAGCAATTAAAGAATATATNTGCTAAAATAGAATAGCTTAATAAGAGAGCGTCATCAGACAAAACTACAGTAACGGCTAGAAAGTCCAGAAATCAATCGAAATTCTAAGAATGTGAGAAAAGGCGCGCTTCTGTCTGTACGCATAGAATAGACGATGAGTGTGTGCACATGTATAGTAAAATCGCGCTGATCTGCTGCTAGCTTGAAGCCGGTATCCAATATATGGATATAAATACATGTATATTATTAAAAGTCAAAATTGTATAAATTATATACATATGCATGTAATTTGAATGCAATTATGCAATGATCATAGCAATAGCTATCGATGATTTTCCCATTTTAAATGGGATCATGCCCTGTTTTTTGTTGCGCACTAGACTTGAAAATTGCACTATATACTCTGGTTGACAGCGTTTGGGCTCTGAATGAGTCTTCTGCAATCGGTATCGCCCGACTGCAACGTTCTTACTTGTTTTAATACACATCTTTTTCGCTCAGTGTAGCGGTCAAGTCAACTGCGCTCAACGCTGACTTTCGTTCACTTCGAATGCTGAACAATTAAATTGTGTCAATGAGCGTTAATTGAGGCCCATAGATATGGGTGTGAGTTACAGCTAGTTATTGATTGCAGTCTAATGGGTATTATTTTTCGGGACGATCTCTGTCTCTCACCCTCTCGCTCCCTCTCCCACCACAATTATACGAAATAGATAAGCGGACAGACAATCTGAGCAAACGAAATGAGTTCAATCAATACATAGCTCGAGCCGAGGTGCCAATAAAATTCTGATGCACTCTATTATATTCTCATTGATTGAATCAAAGGTTCGGATCACTAATATAATGCTATTCTCTCAGACGGGAAAATTGGCAAACAATTCTATAAAAGCTATTCAGTAGTTTAGCTAGATTTGTAGTCGTTAAAATTGCCAGCAGTTGTGGGTAGAGTCAACGATTACCAAATACTTGAAACATATGAAGATGTCTGAAGCAGATCGAAAGTTGGTTCTAGCTAAGTTTAGAACTGGCTTAATAAGGTGATATTTTCATATACAATATATGTATGTATATTCGATTCTAGGAATCGGCAGCACATAGAAATATCGAAATTTAATAATATGATCAAAAATTTTTATTATTATTGATCTCCACTATAGAGAACTGGCGAATGTAGCAATTGGAGTAATGCTTCCGGTCTATAGTGGAGTTCAACAATTATAAAGTTTGGTTTTTCTATTTACTCATGATTCCTAGAGCTTAGGTAATAAGAAGCAAATTTTAAATAGTAAAATTACTTTATATTTCTATCAGATAATGATATCTATATTTCCGCTATCGTATCCGACAAACCTAGTGATAAGCCTTACAAATTTTGTCAATTAAACAAATCATAATATCGTATGCTCCTCGCACGAGCATTGGGCAGTCGTTGACTCTCACTAAAACTGAACGCAATTATAATAAAAGTTTATCAGAGCCCATTTGGATTCATAAGGGTCGTAAGATCATCCATTGTACATATAATTATTTATATTCGTAGATTTAGCTCTGAAGATTAGCTAGTTCAACCAGAGCTTAAACTAGTATACCCTGAACTAGTAGACAAACAGCTGACTGATAGGTTAATTATAGTTTTCTGATAGATTGTTTTCTCAGCTACCAACTGAGATCAGTTGATGCAGTTCGTGTTTTAGTATTCAAGTAGATCTATGAGTCGAATCACCTGCCGCTGAGCTGAGCTGTTTGAAATGAAATTGAAATGCAAACTTGACTTGAATTTGAAATGAAAGTTCTATGCTTTGATATCGGAGGCAAAGCAAGTGAATTCGGCTTGAGTGTGCTGGATTATGGATTAGACGGGCCATCAGCTCAGATGTCAGCGCAGCGCATTAAATATTTCGTGACATTGATTACGGCACACGTGTTGTATGTAGCCAAGGTTCCAGTTGCTGTTGCTATAGGAATTGCTATATTTAGGTGCATTTTGATTATTGTTATTGGGCTGCGTGCTAAGTCTGTGTGCAATGCAGTGGCAGTTGCCTTTGCCTTTGCCTTTGCCTTTGCTGTTGCAGTTGCATTTGCTATTGTCGTACAGTCACGCCGCACACTGAGGCCGCAGAATAATCCCAGCAACCGACGCATTCTCACATGTGTCGATGAGCCAGCCAGCAAGCCAGCCAGCCAGCCCCTCCTTTGTCCCGCTGCGTGCCGACTCAGGGCTGGGATTTCGGTTTGGGTTTGGGTTTTCGGTTTTGGTTTCGGTTTTGGTTTTGTATTTTGGATTTTCGAATTTCGGGCTCGATGCGAGTGGCGTGTCGCTTGTTTATGCATTTAATGCGCATTTCAAGTCATTTCTCTAGGCTGAGTTTTGCTTGAGTTTGTTCAACAACCAAATAAATTCACGTACTTCAATTTGACGCGGCTAATGTGTGCGCCCTAAGTGGTTCTGTGAAGGGAATGTGTCTGAAATTCAATACGTACTGCAACGAATGCCACTTGAGGAGCATCCAAAGCGGTCTAAGCCCAAAACATTGCCCCGTTACCCGATGGCAATTCGCCCTGTCAAACATGACGAGCGACCCCACAAACGGACAAACACATCAACAGAGCAATTCCCCAAGCTGCACATTGTTAATCTATGCCATCCCAGACATCTATAACGATCGACATTTATCGCCTTTGCTTGTCTTTATCGACACCGCATCGAATTCGCTGCGATAACTATGGAGTCCGGCAGCTATTTTCGTATTTCGCCGATAATAATCAGACTCTAGGACTCTAATCTTCATACTTAATATGCTCGCTAGTAAACCAAGAGCTGGGGCACACTGAGAGAAAGACCAACTGCACTTTGCATTTTTGTGCAAAATCAATTGATTGCATTGTCTAGATTATATGAAGCTTACAGATCATATAGATTGTGCAGCTGATAAACTGCGTGTAGCTCTTATAGAACATATATATGGCAGATCCTATATTGATCGTATTAAATTATAGATCATAATAAATTCGTGTAGATCCTTTTCAATTAAATTATAGATCAAATAGATCCGATCGCATCGTATATAACGTAAAATTCAAGTATAGAATTGTATAGACCGTAGGAAACGTATAATATCGTATGGATCATAGATGATATGAAGATCATATAGATCACATTGATCATAAGGATCATATGGATCATATAGATGACATCGAGCTTATAAATCATATGCATATTTCATATTAATCTAGAATCTAATAAAATTGATTTATTTTTTCATTATTTAATAACAATAATAAACTCAACTTTTAAGTTTAACATCTAAAACACGACCGAAACTCTGGAATTGCTTGAATTAAAATGTTTTGATCGTATCACAACTTTTAAATGCTTCATGACTTTAACTTTAACTACTGCTAATTGCAGAGTAACAGGTTCTAGAATGACTTGTTATAAGTTGCTGTTCCTCTGCCGGATCGAAATCCCTTTCTATTTGAAATAGCACTCTGCAGGCTCTACAGTTGACTACGCTTATTGAGCCCCAAGGTGAAACGGTTTTATAAACGATAAAAAAATGAAAAAAACATGCAGCTCAAACATTGATAATTTGATTTTGTACACGGTGTTTTTTTTTTTTCGCCCAGCTCTTGGCTAACTCAATTTGGCCAGGGCACACGGGAAGTGCCAGTGGGACAGACATACAGGAAGGGCGCATGCCCCAGCCTGAATAACTTCGTTCCTGTGCTGTATTTTAACACTTGTTGCAATAGCTGTGGGTTAACTTACGCGACAGTTTATCACTTCCGATGCTAGATTTCGCCTTTGCTTTCAATTTAATAACGTGTATTTGTATTTTGAGTTTCTATATGTATAGTTGGCCGATAAACGCATACAAACACGCACACACGCGCATACACTTCAAATAAATTCACAATAAAAAAAAAATGTTTGCTAATAGTTATTTGTTGACTTCACAATGGCGATTTTACACAGCACAGCGCTCAAATACAATGGGAAGAGCACAAAGCCCGGCTTGAACAATGTACAATAGATGTAAATGTCGCTGTTAATGCGAATGTTAACGTTAGCGCCAATGTTAATACAAATGTAATTATACGTAGAGCACGCACAAGCACACGCACACACACACACACACACACACGTTACTAGAGCTGGGCCGAACGTGTTGTTAACTGTTACGCGTCCAGCAGTCGACTTGCTTGCTAGCAGATATTGCTGTTGGTTTTATAGCGCGATACCCTGTACATAAATAGGCGGCTTTGCAGCGGGTATGCTACACACACACAGGTTGTACAGGCTATCAGTGGATATGCTCATTGAAAACGTCTAGGGGTTATTTTGCAGTTCTCTATTTCAATCATGAATAGTATTTAATAAACAATTTATGTTCATTTAATTTATACTATTTATTA